TGGATCTTTTTATACAAGGACTCCCACTGATTACTGTACTGAGGAAAAGAGAGTTTTTTTTATCTTTCACAACCTAATTCTTTAAATAGTGCCCCTAATTTTTTAAACAGTCTCTAGCATATCCTTAATCTGCAATATATTCCTTTATTTTTAATTGGAAGAATACATACAAAGTAGGGGGGTGTTGGCCTAGTGATAAGAGCAGCGAGCTCCTGCTCTGAGAAGGTTGAAAGTACTCGGTCCAATCCCCACAGCCTCCACTCTGGGTCCCTGAGCAAAACCCTAAACCCCACACTGCTCCCCGGGCGCTGCAAAATGGCACCCCACTGCTCCCCAAGGGGATGGGTTATTTGCAGAGGTAGATTTCTCCAGTGTGAGATCGATAAAGTTCAATTATTATTATTGAATTAGGCACTGGGTAGGGTGCATGACCAATATAAGGGGGGTCAGTCCTGTAGGAGGCCATGCTTGGTTAAAACTTCTGTGCCGTACCCAAGCATCTTTGCCACTCTCTCTCTCCATCCCACTTTCAAAATAAAGGCCACTAGTATCAGAAAAAAAGGTATTAAGTTTAAAAACATATTTTTGTGGAATCAGTAAGAGTAAACAGTAGAGATGTGATAAAGTGTCCGTTGAATGGAAGATAGTTGTTTTCAATTGATCTGATCTTACCGATGGCCAGATGGTCAGTAATTCTGTATATACAGTTGTGCTTGAAAGTTTTTATACCCTTCCATTAAAGACAGAAAAAAAATCAGCTGCCAGTAAAATAAACTGAAATTGACAAAAGTAATAAATAATAAGAATAAAACTAAAAATAAATAAAGCAAGTAAAGAAGCCTGATGGAGCTCCTCACCTAAAATTTTGGTGAGCAACACTTTGAGGTAATCACTGAAATCAAGTCTTTTCTGAAATGTTCAGAAAATGTTCAGTGAGACATCTGGCCCTGTTGACGGGTATGTTGGTTCACTTTAATTTGCAAGGAACGTTTTTTTTTTTTTTTTTTCATAATTATTTTCAAACAAAAATTCTAAATCAATATTTTCTTTTACTGAATTATAATATAATAATTCATTTATAAAATTATTTATTATTTATTTTTTTGTTATATTTGAATTACTAGTGTGAATTTATCCTTTTCTTTAATCGGAGGCTATAGAAACTTTCAAGCATAACTGTATACGTGCTATATGAACAACAGCACTCCTATTTATTACAGCAGTGAGAAGACCAAAAGTTAATGATTTTTAGCATTACTGAGATGTTTAAGAATAACATAAGGTATTGTTTACAGTGACCGCAGTCCCTCACATACTGTACAGCTTTATAAAAGAAAAAAAACGAATTTAGAAAAAAAAACTGTCTGCTGCAGTGAGATTAAAGGTATTTTTTATTATTTTTATTTAAAGTTTTACAAAAAAAAGGAAATAACAATTGGAACAAAACTGGGATCAATTTATCTCTTAAGTCCATGTTTGATCCATCTGTAAGATTTTTTTTTGCTATTTTGGAATGTCTTTAAAACACCTCTGCCGCGTTTTCAATGTATGCCAGTATTCTTTCTTTGGAGACCTAAGGATAAAAAAAAGCTTGTTCTGAACCTGTGTTTAAACATTCTTTACCAAATCAAAAACACTGAATATATTCTTTCCTTCATGTTTCGAAAATAAGAGAGGTGAGTGCTGAAAGCTAATTGGCAACAGAGACATTAAAGTGATGTCTCAGTGGGCCATTTTGTTGCTGAGCTGTCTGTGGCAAAAACTCATTATTTTTCTTTCTTTTTTCCAAAACTTAATATAGCCGTGTTCAGAACTGCTCTCAGAACAAGGACATTTGAGCACACTGTGCCACTTTGAAAAAGGTTTGTAGCAGTGTTACTTCTAGCAGAATCCTCCAAGTGTGGATGAAATTGCCAAAAATTTACCATAAACCCAGTCTACATATTTATTGGACAATATAAAACACAAATTGAGAATGACATTCAGATTTTGAATCAGCTTTTTTACGGAGAAAATTGGGGAAATCTATTCTAATGAATTCAAATTTGATCTATAACAGTAGGTGTTGATTTAATCTGCTAATAGAAGAGATAATTTTATATTTAATTGCTCAATCTTTGTGTTAAAGGACTTTGCCAGCTTAAACATGCATGCCGCTTCCTGGCTGTGATCAGTACTTACTGAAAGGCCTTGTTCTTTTCTCTTCAATGTATTATTTTCTGCTCCTCTTGGTTTCACCTATCACTCAACTGTCCTGTCCATTCCTTCACCCTCCCAGTGGAGAAGTGGACTCAGCTCATGGCAAAGGACAAAGACACCTTGTCGCCGGTTGTAATGAAGGACTAATGAGCTGTTCAGACCAGCTGTAGTGTTTGTGATTCTGGCTCCACTGTCATTTCCCACCGCTGGAGGTGGACTATAGGAGGGATGTTGCCGTTAGTGTGACACTGCCAAGCTCAGTGGAAAAGGGCACATTACTACTGTCAAGCTTCACTGACTACCTCATCTTGCTGGATTCAGTAGACTAATACCAGATTGTTGGTTGGGGGCAACATTGTGACTTGTGCTTATCCCTGTATATGACACAGCTCAGTGGGCATTCAGCACATTTGGTCCACAGTGTCTACATATTATAAAAAATTTAGGGAATACAGTGTAAAGTCAGATCAAATGAACATATTGCTTTTCTAAAAATATTCAAGACATGCTTTTAAATATACTGTTATGTGATCTTCTTTCCTGGACTGTTTTAGTCCCCTGTGATGTACTGTTCTTAGCACACCACAACGCCCTCCAGGTGGTTTCAGACATATGGTTGGCAAGATGGCAATCTGCAACCACAGTATGTCAGCCATTGATGAGCTGAGAGTCCCTGTTAGCTCCTCCATACTTGATAATGATTAATGTGATAATTAAGCTCTGGAACATATAGAAAGGTGAGAATGCTGTGTCTTTGAATATTACGTCTTATGCAAGCTTGTCTGTTTTGATGTAATGCGAGTTACTGAGGTGTAAGAAGTACCTTCTAATTATAAATATTTCACTTCTTGATTACTGAAAAAATAGGGAAATGCATTATATTTAGTTTGCCAGCCATAGAAAGCACCCGCTGCTGAAGCGTCAATTAAAAGAGAAAAAACTTCAAAGGCCTATTTTCCCTAATTTCAAACAAAGGAGGGCCTACTGGCAAGGGCGCACAGACAGGTAGTAATCCCTCTCTTCCACTGCATTTGGGTTCAGATGGGTGCAACATGGTGCCCCCCCACTTCCATCCATCCCCACTATGCTAAGTAATTGCCCGGTTTTATGCGACTTGTGTATTGACGGTGATATGAGTTCCAAGATTATGCCCAAACCTCCCCATGTCACACCAAAGACCGCAGGGGCTGCATGTGTTGCCATGATAAGGCTAATTGCATTTATTTCAAACAGCTCATTAAGACTGTGCGGCTGAAACTCTCACTACATTGTGCTTTTTAAAAGATGGAAGCCACAGGAATGAAGCAAAACATGTTCTGGGTGCATCTAGGATTCTGGGCATTACAAAATTTAGATCTAATTTGCAAAAGCAAGTTAAAGCGACAAATTGATGGGATTTGGTATTCTCTGCCGACCTCATCACTCAACATCAATAACCAGTTAACAAATAATGCTTTTAAAGTAAAGGCGGTCTACTAATTTTTGCATAACCTTTAAAATATCAAAGGATGTAATGCTAAGTCTGCTGTAAAAATGTTTTTAGAAATTGTGGAAATAAAGTGTCTGCAACAAAAGTATTCACAACCCTTGAACTGCCTTTACAACATCATACTTCTCTGTAGTTTTAAATTATTTATATATGAACCCAAACAAACTAGCATGGAAAACAATACAGAACTGACTTGTTTTCATTTTTTTCCCCTTTTAGATAAAAACATAAAGAATATGATATTATGAAAAAAACCCTTAAGGATTGATTTGTATTTCCATTCGATTTCCATTATATGCAAACTAGTTAATAAATATAATCCAATTGAGCACAATTTATTTTCAACATAATTTGAGTTTCTAATAAAAATCTCTGTGATCCTAAACATGATTAAACAAACAACACCATATGGGCAAAGGAGCGTGATAACCATGTCAGGGTGAGTGAATGTGGTGATGAGGTTTGAAGAAAATTTCTGATTACGAGCTTTGGCCATACCAGAGTTCATTGTTTACATTTTCAATTCCATTATCCTAAATGGGGCATCATGCAAAACAAAAAAGGCCAAATTGATTTGTTTGGTAAAAACCAACAAAACACTATGTGTAGCATTATCCAAGAAGAACTATGCAAGTGGAAGCGTCATGGTGCAGGGATATTTTTCCGTTTTTATAGTCATTGAAGCTTGTCTGAGATGTTTGAAAGATACAGTTCTTGAAGAAAAAATTACAGTTTTTTTTTGTTTTTGTTTTTTGTCATGCTCATTGCTAATATCAAATACGGTACCTTTGGAACAAGATCTAAACAAAAACAAAGTTTGGTCACTATTTTCTTTCATTTCTGTTGATTCAGTTAAATGTATTAGGAGAGGTCTGAATACACAATCACACAACACTTTTAATTTTAAAAGAAAGGAAGCCATATAATTTTGCTTCCACCTAAAAGTTGGGCACCACTCTGTGTCCAAATAATAGATTTAACTTTATCGATAAGTTATGACAAATATGAAAAAAAAGCAACTGAAAAGATGTGAATACTTTTGCAAGAATGTCAGTAATATTATATACACATATAATATATACTGATGTTGACATACTTTTTAGAGTACCTCTTATTTCATGACGACCTAAATGGTAGAATTTCACTGTTTTCTTTGGGAAATAATGTGTTTTGTTTAAAATAGATAGTAGTGACAAGAAATCTAACCTTTCAGTTCAAGTGTTGTTCCACATGTTTATTCTTTAAAAAAAAAAAAAAAAATGGCACTGATGGGGGTATATTTTATAACTGGGTTTATTTTTATATTTTACAGAAATTTGAAGTCCATCCAGACCCAATGGTCAGTGTTGCACACGTAGCCTGTGCTGGTGGAGGTGTGTGGATGGCCTTCTCAGAGGGCTCCTCTATCCGGCTTTTCCATACAGAAACACTGGAACTTCTGCAAGAAATCAACATTTCTACACGTTCGAGGCTTCAGAACACTGGTACACAAGCATCACACCCACCTCTGAATGCATGTAGGCATAGTTTAAACTTGGAGCTTATAACATTAAATTTTACATGTTGGTTCCCATTTTAAAACAGTTTACTCACTAATGGATGCTAATAATGTTCCTTAAACAGTCACCGAATTAATATGATAAATATATTTGCATTAAAAAGAAAACAATGAGATTTTAATGCCATGAGTGGATCTGAAACCTGAAACCTTAACATTATGCCAGTGTGTAAACCCTTTTTTTTGTTTTAACTTTATTAATAATGCTCAAAACACATAACAAACTGGTTCATGAGTGCCAGCAAGCTCTAGCTGATTGCTAACCAATTAGCTTAGGTTTAAAAAATAATAATAAACACATTAAAAACATATGAAAAGAACAGGAACTAAGTTTTTTAGCTTAGAATACTTGTCACTATTTTTAGCAGACCAGGTACGTTTATTTATCTGTGTTCTGAGGAAGAGGAGGGGGAACCAGTGGTTGGGAATGTTTAGGTAGTGTAGGTCTGAGGGTACTGATCAGAATGAGAGAAAGCATAGCTCACTGTATTCTCTTAGGGGAATTGCCTAACAGCTGTGACACCTATGCTCATCCTCAGCTCTCACCATCATGGAAGGAGACGGCTTATTTCACCAAGTCTCTGCTGGGTCTCTGGTTCCAGCCTTACCTGCCAAACTCGTGGAGAAAGAAACTTGTAAACAACCTCTATATATACTATCCTCAGTAGTTATTGGTTGTGTATAAAGCAGACTGAAATTAACTTTGGATCTTAGTTTGAAGAATGTCGTCCCTTGCCAGCGGGTCAAACATTCAGTGTTGTGGGGCCTAAGAATGGAGACAAAATCATCAGCAAACACAACAGCTTCTGACACAGTTTTTACCTTCCATTCATTAATGTACATTGCAATGCTCACATAAACAGAGTTCTTAAATTGCTCCAAAACCATTAAATTACAGAGGTCACCAAATATTTTAACGTCAGAGGAATTGCACGATTAAAATTAATCTCCAAATCCCTTGCAAACTCTACATAAGTTTTGTCACCTTTTTTCCAGTTTCTAAACTTCTGTCTGTATGCTTCAGGGACTAATTCATATGCTTTCAGTATTGCAGCTTTAACCTTGGCATAATCCTGGCCATCATTTAAGTTCAACATGGCGAAAGCTTCTTGAGCACAACCCACCAAAACACACTGAAGACAAACTATGCGGTCTGAATCAGACCAGTCTCTGGATGACGTCATACACACTCCGCTTTGTTTAAAAAAAAATATAAATATAAAAAATATAACCGCGGATGTCTGGGGACAGTGATTGCTGTTGATTGAGTGCTGGCATACCATAAAGAATAAATTATGAACAGTTTAGTTTGTGCCTTCAACTCGTTGCCCATAGGAAGATGTTACTTGGATCTAACAAAACCGAATATCTTCAGAACAGCTCCAAATGACACAAAACTCATATGGGTGAGTAGAACATGATGTAATAATTAAAATCAAGGGGCCAATGTAAAAAAAAACACGGTGTTCCCCTTTAAGTGATCCCTCCAGGGTGTCCCAGGATGCTCCTCCCTTGAAGGTGTTCTAAAAAGGAACATCATCTGCAATCTAAAAACACAGGGTTCTACCAGTCCAACATTCTAGTATTGTCAGTTTTCATATTCAAGCTCATGTTCATATTTATCTTATGAGGGCACAATACTTTTCTGGTGAGATGATTCCCTAACTCATTGGGTTTGTGAATAGTTGGCTATAGTCTGCCAAATGTCCCTCTAAGAACACTATGTGTAAATGGTCCTCTTAGGCTATATAAGTACAAGCCATTGACTCTTTTTAATCATCCAGGTGGGCATTGTTTTTTAAGGACTGCTGTTGTTCTAAATTTGACAAAAAGGCCATCAAAAGATTATTGCATGTGTTAAGGGGATTAGAGAAATGGCTGATAAAGAAACAAAGCTGTTGTCAATAAAATCAGATGGGACATAGCGTTTCAGGAAAAATCTGACCCGTTGGTTTTTCCTGACATTTATTGTCAATAAAATCAGATGGGAAAGAGTGTTTCAGGACAGATCCGACCCGTCTGTTGTTCCTGACATTTACCTGAATGAGCATTAATGCTTTTTTCCTTGGATGACATCCACCAGCTGTGCTCACTGCTAGATACAAAAATGTGCCACCCTACAGAAGAGAGGATTACGTTGACTGTTACACGTACTACCTATGTCGGACAGGTTTTTTTTTCTTTTCTTAGTATTGTTCCAATTGCAGAAGGAGATGAAAATCTTAGCAATGACACCATCACAAATGTGAATTTGGCATTAAAGGAATATGCATACGTTTTTATGACCTTCCCTTGGCAGGGCAGAATAAACATCAAGGAAGATTGTGCAGAATTGCAGGGAATATTACTTTAGGTGAACTACTTTTTTATTTTTGATACAGAATGCCTTTTTTTAATTGGTGTGCTGGACTGCATTACGCATTAAAGTAAAACACCCCTCTGGAGCACATGGTGATTTGTCATCAGAAATTCCTTTGAAGGTGTCAACTCTATGATAAGAGTGAGTTATATTTAGGCCTCTTTTAAACTCCATAAATGTATTAGGTGCATGAAATTACCCGAACACATCCTTTTGCTTAAGTTGATCTCTGATCCGACGCATTTTCAGTAGCATTTTCTCAAAGTGCCCTGGCTCAGGCCAAGACTCCCAAACTGAACAAAGCTATTATTTTATTCTGGGTTTTGTTCAGCATTCATGCAGATACTACCAGTCTACAAAATGTTATTATATTTAATCTTGACCTATTGTCTAGTCCTCTTTGGTCCAGCGATACTTGTTCAGTATGAAAATTGATAAGCTGTGTAAAAAAAAAAAGGCAGTTTCAACACCAAATGCCATTTCAGCCAAAACCAGGAGTTGATCCCAGGTTCCCCATATTTGACTCAAGGAAATAAACCGCTTCCTGACAGAGGAATTACATATAGAAATGAAAGTAGACATTTATCACCCATTAGATCCAAAAAAGTTAGTTTTCTCCCACTGCTCATTTTTAGGTTTACAATTGTTCATAAAAAAAAGAAGTAATTCCTTAAATAATGAGGTTTATTCTTAAAAGGAGACATTAAAAGAGTATATTTTAGGCTTTTATGCATTTGCTTAATCTGCTGTTGTTTTGCTACATCAATGAATCTTTGATGAACCTCATCGTCACTTGAAGAAAGCTGCCCGTGTGAAATTACTTGGAGTACTTACACATGGCTTGTCTTAGTTACATTTTTTTAGCCTGGTTTGTCTGTTGTAAATTTAATAAAGCCAGGATGAACTGATCACGCCAGGACACGCCTCTTAATCTGGATTTTAAAATTTTGCTTTTGTGGAACCCATCTAGAGTAAAGCACTTTGCAGACCTCATTATGAAGGCAGTCCATAGATTTTTTTTAAATATTAGGTTATGGTGAAAATTATTGTTTTCTCAGATGTATTCATTATAGGTATTGTATATTATCTCTTTGCTTTTAAAGTAACCCCCAATTCTTTATTTTACAGTTTCTATTATGCTCACTCTTCTTTGTCCCAGTTTCTTCAGATGATCTGCTTTAAAATCCTCTCACCCTCATTTTATCATTTTACTGCAGTCCATTTAAAATCCCTCAGATGGCACATTACCTCTGGTGTTTATTTCTTCTTTATGCATGAAATATTTATCAGCAAGCGTGGGTGCCTTTAGATTTCCCTTTAAAGGAAGAAACTATGGTATACATATCACTACCTATACATGCACAAAAGCAATAAAGCCCAGAAGTGTTGTCAGTACATGAATTCTTTTGCCAATTTAAAAAAAACCTACCTAGCATGAGTGAATCATTTACTTTTTACAGACATGGTAAAAACACATTTAGCGTTTTATGATCAGTTTCAGCTAATACACCAGCACAATGGGAACTTTCTTTAAAAAAAACAAAAAAAAAAACAAGGTAAGGCAATAGGTATGTGTTTCAAAGAAAGACCATTTACTATGTAGAACAAAGTCTAATTGTTCCATTTCAGAGCTGGAGCAGAGATTTAAACTGGGGAGTGTTGGCCTAGAGCAGTGCGCTTGTACTCTGAGAAGGTTGCAGGTACCCGGTTCGATCCCATTAGCCTGCACTCTGGGTCTTTGAGCAAGACCCTTAACCCCACGCTGGAACCTTAACTCCCCCGGCGCCGCACAATGGCAGCCCACTACTCCAAAAATGGATGGGTTAAATGAAGAGTCAAATTTCTCCAGTGTGAGATTGATAAAGTTAAATTATTATTATTATTATTATTATTAAAGGAGAAGAGATGTCTAAGACCATGGTATCCAAAAAGAAACAACAGATCAAAAGTTCAATCTCCACTCCTCTCCCATAAACATGCAGTATGTTTAAGAAAAGGTGGCTGCCCTAAGGCTTGGCCCTAAGGGAAGATGAAGGGTCTACAAAAATGTTTCTTGGCTCATGTCTACGGGGTGCATAAAGAGAGGAGGATCTTTGACTTAAGTTGGGATTTGTTGAGCTCACAGGAGAAAAGAAGTTCCCCAGACACTCAACAACCACAGAACGGAACATGAAATTTTTATATTTTTTCCTCATCTCTGGGTCTCTGCTCCCCCAGGTTCCTCCTTGACTTATGCTAGGACATGCAGTAATGATATACCCCCTAATCCTTTCTACTCTAATGTGATTTCTACTCATCAGGGAATTCCAGCAGCGGTAAACAAGAGAGAATTTTCAGAGGCTAAAGAAACTGCTGATCTCTAATGCACTAATGTTTTTAATAGTTAAATCCTCAGGGTTAAGTATTCCAAAATATCTTGAGTGGCATATTAAAGGAGAGCATTTATCTTTGTAGACATCAACTTTTTTAATAAAAATAGCAGCTCCCTCACGACACACTGTCGAGCATGTTCATTGCTGCAAACACAGGAGGGCTAAGTTTGCTGGAGGGGTTGTTGAAGCTCTTTA